AGTCGCTGTCACAGCGAGAAAATTAGAAACCATGTTGGAATACAAATTGGGGATGAAATGGATGCTGGGCGGAGGGGGGGCCTTATCTCTCACCGTCAGTCATCGCCGACGCAGGCGAAGCCGGGAGGACACATGCTGGTCTTGCGGCTCCGGAGGTGCACACTCGCCCTCACTGTCTGCTCCTTAAAAATACAGGCTTCCAAGCGATTATAATCCATATTCCGGTGAAAGCATGGGAAGTGAGTTCCCAGGTTAAATCCGTAAAGTACACGAACAAAAAGACTTAATTTTCACAGTTAAAGACAATGATCCGCAGCTTATTGCTTTTGCTTTTTCTGAAATGCCAGCCCCTGGCTCATACTGGCTAAATATGAACGTCTACAGATAGACCTGTGTGTGATTGCTGCTGAGGCTATTATTTTAGACCTCTTTGTAAAGTCTGGAAAATGCTGAGAAACAGATACTTAGGATGCAGAGTTATGATTTATAGATTTCTTTATTAATACACTTGACAGATAGTATTTAGCCATTGTGTGTCATTCAGCTTATTTTAGTTCAGTTTGGCCACCAGAGGTCCAGTGTTAAACCTGGTGAAAGGATCGAACGGATGGACAAACACTGACTGACCGCAGGTGCGACTTTTGTGCAAGAATAAGACTGGACACCTATGATGAAAACACAGGTGCTGGATGTAGCTGTTGCAAAGTGTTGCTTGGAAAACAACCAATCAGGCACCAGTCAAATTACTCATGCTGTGCGGAGGGCTGATACTAATGGAAACTGCACCGGGGTGTCTATCACAGCAGCTTGTCCCCCTGCTGAGGAGTGGCCCTAATGGAAGGTAATGCTTAATGTCTACGCTTGCCACGTGTTTTCTGATTAAAGTCACATGACGTAGTTGGATCCTGACTAAAGGACGTGGGACCCGTGCATCCGGACTGCAGCGACTGGTGAATTATTAATATGATTGTGGTTATGTGTGGGAAAAAAAGATTGTTGTGTCTTTATTTCCATTCTTTATGTCATCCTTTTCTAAACACGGAGCCCCTGTGAAGTATTGCTGTTGTCAGATGTGCCATCTGGTCAGTGGATACGCTTAGGGGACCTCTTCACTGGGTAGGGGCTGCTCTACTGATTGCTCAGTGCCAAGAAGCCCCCCCCCCCAGAAATATTCAAATCATTGTCTCATTAATATAAATGAATGGCAAATTTGCGAATCTGAATGTTCTGCAAATGCAGCACAATAGTCCTATTCCATTGGTTATCTTGTACGGCCCAATCACCACGTAGTCTGTGCCTTTAAATGAGAGTGCCTCACCGTGCCTCTTGGGAAGCTGTGGTAGACAGACAGATTGTCAATTAGCTGGATCACTAGACAAATGCATAGAGATACAGTGCACTAAATGAACACCCTGCTACCTATTGGGCTACCTCTTCGGGCCACTGCCAGTGGGAAGCAGTGGAGAAGGAGAGAGAGGGCTGTCCTTACTGGCCAGTGAAGCTCATCACCCAGCACAGAATGGTACCACTTGGAGGTCTCCTGCTGCTACGGCCCCATACGTGTAAATTGGCTCAGAAATGCATGAGGGCCAGAGAAAGAACTGAGCCACTGGTGCAACTCTGGAGAGCGTTTCCCAAACGAGGACACAGGTTGCCATTGAACTACCACGGTACAATGCTGTAGGTTCATATCCATGAAGCTTTTTTCATGTAGCAACGGAAGCACTCAGTGATTAAGAATTGATTTATTATTTTTAGCCATTAATTTGCCCTTGATTTATTTGCTTTCCGCATGTTTTCCCGTCTAATACTGTGTGTATATAAGCTCTGAAAGATAAATGGTTTCAGCACCGTCATCTCACCATGTGCACATGCATAATAATCATATAACATTGTCCGCACTACTTAGTGTCTGCTCACACATCTCGACATAAGGTCACTAGCTCACTCGACACGCTCATTTGGCAGGTACGTTCTATTTGCCAGTAGTTTATTTAGGGTAATTTCTTTTTTGGTTTTATAAATATCGCAATATTACTCCATGTGATATTGCGATGTCACAATCGTGCAGCATTAAATATTAAACACTTGACAATTTTTGATGTTTGTAAATGAAGATTATTTGCTGTTTTCACCTTGCTTACATGGTGACTGCCCTGCTTGGACTGCATTTCCCACCATCGACGACATGGTCAGTAGGAAGTAAGCTTGTAACTTCAGCTCGAGAGCTGCAGTACGAACTATGCAGCTTAACGACAATGTTTGAGAACATTCGTCCAAACTATGGTTTTCGGAAACACCCGCGTCGTTTAATGACGGTTCGCTCTGTGTAAGATACCAGTGTAGTTACCTCCATAGTTTGAACTATGGTATCGAGAAACACTTGCACCGCAACTGCATATCTCCAAATATGCTTTTAGTGCTGCTTAGGCGGTGTCCTGAAGAAGGGGGACAAATGGGGGAACAGCTTTACAGATATTAGTAGGGTTTACAACCTGCACCGACCAGCCTACTTTACAGCTTATTGCTGCCTTCACTTTATTCAGGCATTAAATTCTGCCAGGTGTCTGTGAAACCGTTCCTGGGGGAATGCCAGGCGCGGCCTCAGAAAGACTTTTTAGAAATTTAGGAGCAGATATAATTGTGCAATTCTTCATTTCGGTCATTAAGAGAGAATTGACAAACGCAGACACAAAACATGTACAGGTACAGGTAGAGGTAGAGGTACAGGTACAGGTCCAGGTACAGGTAGAAGTAGAGGTACAGGTACAGGTACAGGTAGAAGTAGAGGTACAGGTACAGGTACAGGTAGAAGTAGAGGTACAGGTACAGGTACAGGTACACCTCCAGCAGAAGTTAGGATAATGCTCATGCTTAGATGTCTAAGAAATGCTGGGTTAGAAACAACCCCTTTGCACGTTGTGATATATGGCCGGTATCATGTGTTATGCACATGCAAGTCTGCCTTCAAGTCATGTCAGAAAAATCATAAATATGAGATGAGAGCACATGAATGCCACTGCAAAATCTTATGTACCAGTAGGAAACTCGGGAACTTCTGGGAAGCTCCTAAATCAAGGGTCCAGCCAGGACACAGAAGGGAAAACAATCATACAGTCACCCAAGAAACTGAAATGCTCTGGGGTCTGTTGCTTAAGCTCTTTCCTCCCAAGTGGAATACTTTCACGCCCACCTTCCCTCCCCACCACCGTAGCTTAAAACGTCTTTTAGCTGATACCACTACTGCTAAAGAACACACAGTAGTATCTATTTATTACTGGACTGAATGTCTGTTGTCAGTTATAATGTAAAGCCTTACACTATTCACCCCAAGGCTGAAGGGGAGAGGAGGAATGCAGTTCTTTCCCACATTAACAACAGGAGTGTATTTCTCTGCAAATAATCTGTCTAGTCTTCAACAAAACAAAGGGACAAGATTCATGGTCATCTTTTAGTGGCAAATTATTTACAGAAGATTCCGGCCTCAATCGGGCTTATGACACACACTGTTAAGAAAAAGCTTTGCTTGTTGTTATCCCCAGAAAAGAACTCACCCATAATACACTGAGTGGGCACATACAGTATAGAGGCAGTGCTCCAGCCTTTCTTAACAATCTTTAACGGAGATAGTTATTGTGTTTTATGTTACAGATAGATGCACTACTTTTTTACTACTAAATACATGGCGAAAATCCAGAGAAGTAATAGACTCCAGTATATATTTATTTGGCCAGTTTCTGTAACATTCTCGTTTTAACAGAAATACATTCATGGTGGTGTTGATATGTTCTTCTACTTCCTGATTTTATCCTGAATTTTACTTTCGTGTTTTTGTTTTGACTCGAGTGAGTAGACATTAGGAATTCCAGTGCATGCTTGCACACATCTGTGCAGTTTGTACTTGGCTCTACTCCTTCTTTCCCCCTTGCATAGCTCCTTGCATAAGTGTCTTCCCTAACAGATATGTTTTGCAAAAGTATGCATGATTGCAATGTGGATTTTTCTGCAGATTAATAATACTTAATGAATGTTGCAGGCTTGTTCCCTGTTACAGTTGTGTTACTTAGTTGAGTTACTTAGTTTATTCTTATTTCTCCCAGTTTGTTTTTGATCCCTTGTGGTCCTCTTATTTCATATTTTACCCCAGTGTGTTCTGTTTTCATTAATTAACGCCATTTTGTCTCGTCACCTTTTTCCTGCCTGTGCCATACTGCGCCATAACAACGCGAGTATGATGCCCCTGTGACTGACTGCTGTCTTGCTAATGGGCCACATCATTAAGGGGGTGTGATTCTGTGGCAATCAGCAGTCATGTTCAGTGCTCAGACTGCAGTAATCGGGAGGGGGATAAGGCTCCAGCTCCTTCCCCGTACCGTACATTCTGCTTCCCCATTTCTCTGCTTCTGGACTGTTGATAAAACCAGAGGTGGAGTGCTGGGAGAATGTGATTGCCATCCTTCCGGTCTTTCCTATGCCTTGCAGTCTTACATTAAAAATGTGTTTCGTACAGATTCTCATACACACATAATTAACTACTTCAAAACTTTGTTCCATGATCAAAAAATGGTTTCATAATAAATTATTATTATAAACAGATGATGTACACATTAACCACTTTTGAATTTGTCATTACATAGGTGACTATATTATGAAATGATTCTGTAGTATTAAATAGGCTTAGGTTTCAACAGAATTTTGTACAAACATGTCCTTTACTATACTCAGAGTATAATATAACAAAATCGACTAAAAAATCTCTGAAATCACTTATGTGACCTCTAAATTAAGATTTCTCTGACATTTAAGTTTTCTTCTCAACTTATTTGAAGAGAACTTGAATCATGTCGCAATAGATCAAAAGAGCATCAAACAGGGCGTCCTCATTGGCCCTCATTGTCGTCAATCGACGAGACACTGTTGACGTCAGAGCGGGCGGCGGCGAGAAGCTTATTGGCTGCTGCAGAGCGTGCTGAGCTTTCTGACTGGGCGAGGGCCGCCTGCCTCGCGCATTCTCTCGCGATATCCGCGCGGCTCGGAGAGGAGAGGAGCCACGGCTGCAATCACAATGTTGCGTCCCTGGTAGCCGACAGTCGCCTTTCTTCGGCGGAGCTCGGTGAGGAGTGAGCCCGTCTGAGCCGAGGCCTCGCACTACGGTTCGTTGCAGCGGTGTCTGGAAGGGACGCACCTTGTTTGGTTTACAGGTGGGTGGGGAGCTACTCGTTTCATATAGCGGCAAATGTTCGTTTATTTGCCCCTTTGCATACCCGGGGCTAACTGGAGAGCTGATGTACGAGAGCCGACTAATGCAATGCAATGCAATGCCCTGCGCTCGGTAAGCACATATACTCAAGCCACTGGCTGATTACCCAACGAGGCAGGTAAGTACTCGAATAAGTATGGAACTTCTCAAGTTTTCAGTGCTACCCGTTTATTTTGAAGTATCGTGGTGTTTTGTGTACGTGGCGTTTTCTGCTCTTTTTCGGGAACCTTTGGAAGGCTATTTCGGGGGCTTCCTTCCCATTTACATACGTGTCAGATACATCCCAGGTTTAGTTGCTATAAGCGTCGCGTCATTTAAAATATTTAGATGAATTTCTGATTATTGCTGGTTCTCATCTTCATTGCCTCACGGAGCCTGGCCTCTTTATAATAAATACGGAAGGTTACTGTGGAATCGTATCAATGCACATTTTTAGAGCTTTTTAAACTAGGAGCACTAGTTTGCCATATCGGAAGTGTGAGAGAGAGCAAACATCTGCACTGGTGGTGTACGGCAGGTTCAGCCATCGGCTTTCTGGGGAAAAGGGGCATTTACACTCAAAATCAATTTTCCTGTACTTAACTTTCCCTTGACTTCTTACAGACCGTGTTCGGGGTGGTGTGCATTTCTCATTAATTTTCATTAGTCTGACATGGTAAAGAAAGACATTTGAAGACCCGCTATTTTCAGTCCGCTATTTAAAATATCAGTTATTCTTTGTCATTTAGTTTTTGTATCCTTTGCTTCGTGAACAAGCAGAAATAGACAATGCAGATTTCCAATTTATAATTTACAAAAAAATAGAGGTGAAAATCGATGATGTTCAGAGTAATTTTACATATACTGTGGCTCTATAGTAAATATTTGATAAATGCTGCTTTAACCATTAAGTGTTCAATCCCACCTATTTGTAATGTTGGCTGGCCAATCACTAGGGAGCTTCATTTTTCTGTACAACTCTGCTGCAAATATTGCCTGTTTTTCCAGGTATTGCTCATTCATTGTCAGACAGTAGCAGTTTACATGTTTGTACCGAAGCGAATTTTATTTTCACATAATGTGTTCTCCCAAGTAGATGTCTGAGGTTTCACCTCGGCGTTACCATTTTGACATACACTGTGAGAAGATCAATGACATCTTATTAGAAATACCGATTTTAATTTCTTTTACTCATGGCGGTGGACGGTCCTGTCCAGAGAGCACAGTAATGTAAGATCGTTTTGTGTGTCATTCCCAGCATGGCCTTTCCAAAGCCCTTATCAAAGATTGACATTGTCCATGTTGTTAATGGGTGGAAATAGCAGCATGCTGCTATACAGGATGACATGCTTGTATGCATCATTAGGCAGTGTAGTTTTTTTTTGTTTCCCCTCTAACTAATTTGCCTGCCTGAGCATAGTGATGTCATGCAGTATAAATGTAAAATGTTTTTGTTTTGGCTTTAGATCAGTTGAGCACTACAGTTTCTTACAAAATACCCTTTTTTCTTCAGATACAGAATAAATCAGTGTTCAAAATGGCTACTGGAGGAAAAAAAAACCTCTTAGGGTTTTGGATTGGTGGCTTTGGTTTGTTAATGGTGATGTGCAGTGGAGTCCTGACCAGCGTGTCTGCTCACTGCCTTCTCAGGCTTGTTTTGAACAGAACGGTTGATGCACGCTCTAGCTGGTCGCTCCCCATGTTCTGTACGGTTTACATAAATCACCCCGCTAGACGATTAAGCTGTCTGTCTACAAGGAGTGAAAAGGTTACCGCTGACTTTCAACTGCATGGACTTGACTCCTCTGGTACCTCGAAGGCTCAGTCAATCCTGATCATAAATGGCTGTATCTGGATTTATTCTTGCCTGTTTCAGCATGTTTATACTGTGATTCAACTCTCATGTGAGGAATCTGCGTCGCTGCAGCTGGACAATATGTACAGTAACATGATAAAATGTATGACAGTCTTTGAAAGGCAGATCTTTTTCTGGGATAAGATTGGTTTCCGTGCAGATCTTGGTCTTGTCTTATCTGTGACGTTTCCTTGTCTTTTTCGTTCTCGTATGTGGGAGAGAATTGTCAGTTTGAGAATCAATGCTGTATCGTGTTAGCCTGTTGAACCTTATATCGTGGCGCAAACAAATGGCTAAAATAATGTCAAAATTTGGCTGTTGTGTGCTGTTATTTAACCCTGCAATGGATTTTTAAGCAATTAAAGTATTGGGATAAATTGTTTTTCATATTGCATCTTCAGAATTGTACCGTGCCATGATTAATTTGGAATAGTAGTAATCTGTGTTAGGTGTTAACAGTGTGTGTGTGTGTCTGTGTGTGTGTGTGTGTCCCACAGTACCTCCAGAATTCATGGTGATGGTTCCGTAACAGGTCATGCTGTCAGGGGTAGGTTGCCCTACAGGCAGCTCTCTAGAAGCACCTGTTCTGAGGACCACTGCTGAGTCGTGTAGGAGATGCTGGACAGTGTCTGTCTTAAGGTCTTACCCACAGACTAAGTATTACAACTTCATCATGTACAATCTCTAGCTATATGTCTGTAGATTTAAGAGGAAATTAGAAGTCGACTTGAGAACGTGCTAATGAGCAAGCAGTGACTTACAGACTGAGCTGTTTTGAATCAGAATTTTAATTAATGTTTCTGGATTTGTAACAAGTGGGTGTTTGTTGCCAGCTCTTGTGGTGATGAAGTGGCTGCTTTAGACTCTTGGATACACGAGGTGTGGCTTCTGGATGACTTGTGTGACCTTTACACATTGCAGTATTTAAAAGTCACTCTTACTCAGCTGCACATGCCATCGAGAAGCCTGAAGATGCAAAGAGAAGACGGATCATTCTGGAAGAATGCCTTTAATATGGTCGCCAGCAGTCGACATTGACTCATCTAATAATAGTAATGTAATAATGTACTTGGCTGAAGTGCCTTCACTACTTTATCTGTTCTTGTGTTTGGTTCTGCTCCATGGTGTTCCTTGTGTTGTTGGGTTTTTCTCTTTCTTTATGTCCAGTTGGCACGCTGCCGATCTATCACCAGCTCGTATATGTGCACTTGTTACCCAGCAGTTGGGTGTCTGTGTGTGCTGCAAGACCCTCTGTTTTGACACGCGGATCCCTTTATCTTTCCAAGCAGCTGTGCGTGACCATGTCTTGAAGCAGATATGCTGCCCCTCTGAGTGGCTGGATCAGTCTGTTCATCTGCTGTTCTGTCTGTTCTATTGTTGCCCCCTCATTGCATGACAAATCCCTGAAAATATAAAAAAAAACTGTACTTAAAAAGAGTAAAATTAGGGAATGTTGTGGGTTTTTTTTAAAGTTCAACTCCATAGTGGAGGAATCGCTAATATTTTATGCCTATGAGTTGACAAGGCTGAAGGGTCATATTGTGTCTTTAATGCTGAATTTTCACCCTTTGCTGGTAGGCCACTTAAATAATAATAATAGTTTGTGTTTGCCTGCAGGTTTTCTGTTTTGAGTTGATCATGTGCCTATTAAAATATTTTGAGTGAATTTCAGCTTTTCTTAACATTAAGAGGCAGAGAATATGGATTTTTTCAATCTCGGACCATCTTGCAGTCCTTGACTTTCGGATGTATTTTTCCATCTGGGGTATGTCAAAGCTGCCTTTTAAGGAAAGAATGTTAATTGAAAGTTGACCAGGCAGGGAGCTTTTATAATGATGCGGTGATGCTCCATTCTCCCTGGTTGGAATTTGTTTTCAAAGCCATGAGCTGGAGAGCTCGAGAGAGCATCTGGCCGCCAAACTCAATTTTCCTCTACAGTGCCGGAAGGGATCTTGGGAGCTGGAGAGCTTTAGGGAGCTGGAGCTAACTGTACGCTCAGGTGATACCGCTTGGGGTTGCTTAACACTAGAAATCGTTGCTTTGGAAGGTGTGTTATGTGGAATCTCTTGTTTTTGCATTTCTCATGGTCCAGTTTTTCTACATGGGGTGCCTGGCGTGAGTAACCAGGGGGGCTCTCTCTCGGTTGCCATTTTAAAACACCATGGCTTACTGTGATGCCTGAGGATGGACAGGGGTTTGTGCGCTCCAGCCTTGGGTGCAGACGGAGCCACTGCATTCTGGGGGCACCAGTGCTATTACTGGAGGTTGCGTGGCTTTGCTTGCGGGAGCAGATGGCATGAGTGCCGATTCCTGTCTGTAGCTGCTCATCCCCCACTTGAACTGACCAGGACATGCCTTCTAAATTGCTTTATTTAAATTGACCCTTCAGCTGGCCTTTTGCAGTAATGCGGTTGCAATGTCGGGCTTTCTCCTTCACTTCCTGGCATTGGAACGCAGGTGTGTGTGTGTGTGTCTGTCCTCTGTGGTGTGTGTGTTCTCCCCCTCTTTTTTTTTTTTTTTTTTGATAACATCTGGCCCGTTGGCTCAGGCTTACAAAGGCTTCTGGGTTTTGCAGACACAAGTCACCTTCCTATTGTTGATCCCCCATGAAAATCAGAGTGGACAACATGGAGCGGACATGTCTGCGTATGGAGGTACAGGTGGATGGGTGGCTGTCTTCAGCTTCTGGTGCCTAGTTAAAAGGATTTGGAATAATGTTCTCAGCTTGCTGGCCCAGCAGTGGCTCTGCTGTTATACATTTGTAGAACGTCTGTACCCATCTGCTTTAAAAAAAAACAAAAAAAAAGTGTGTCAGATCCCTGACATGTTTGATTTCAAGCTATGATAACAGTGAATCCTATTAAGAGCACAATCAGAACTCTTGATATCTGGGGTGGTGGAAATCAAACAGCTATGTTTATTTTGCCATTGAAATAAGAAGTGAATTGTTTAGTCTCGCTCTGTAATTTCCTTGTTTCTCTCTGTGGTTCTGTGATGTTTGGTTCATCGGCTTGTTATGGAGAATGCCTTTGAAGTTATTCTGGTGTGATTGCGACTCCCTTGTACCCTAAAGAGGATGCGCTGGTTCCGTCTGGCCTTTTCTGCAG